AGAACATTCTGTACGGTCAATCACGGAAGAGGGGTGGAGAACGTTCAAGCGTTACATGCGAATTCGTCTGCTGGACGCGGTTCAAACAGGTGCTGCAGATACAGGTGGTGTGGTTAAAGCATATGGGTGGCAATCAAATGTTGCATCTGCTTAATGACTACTAATTTGCATAATATATTAAAATCAAAAGTAAAAAGCTGGTTAAATTTATTTGCAACCTCAGAACCTATCACAGTGACAAGAAATATGACACCAAATAAAATTAATCTACGAAAAAACATTAAATACCCCAAAATAACAAATACAAAATATTTCACTCAAATAAAATACTTTCTAAGCTGAACTCGAAGAATAATAAAAAAAATATATAAAAAAAAAAAATATATAAAAATAAAGATACAAACTTTTTATGAAAAAGTGATACTTATTAGCTAATTCTTTTAAAGTAATGAATGAATTCATGAGTCATTCTGGCTAGAAAAAAAATATATTAATTAATATAGAGAGATAGATATATTAATTTAGATATATTAATTATATTTATTTACTTTTACAAACACACAAAATTATGTTATTATATATATATATATATATATATATATATATATATATATATATATATATATATATATATATATATTTGGTCTTGAACATTTCTAGCAGAAATGCAGGAGAGAGCAAACCAAGCGCTTTGAACATATGAGCATCTAGTTGCCTAGCACCAGACATCAGTCCTCAGTCTCCCTCCACACCATAGATGATCTCCACTGCCATCATTCCCAGTGACGAGTGTCCTTAACTACATCACAAGAGCTGAAATCACACAGCTTTCAACACTTTCACAGAGCCAGCTCATCCCGCGCTCCTTTCAATCCTTCCCCCGGTTCTTCGATTGGCTTTCAGAAGAAATCTACTGTCCTGCAGAGCTTCTTCAATAAGATTATGCAACTATGACAATGACTCTGGCAGAAGCACACAGAGCCGTGCATGTGTCTGTCAGGCTGACGTGGTCTGATCACTTCCCATTTGCAATATTGATCAAAACGCCACTGACCAATTTGTCCAAACCAGTGGCTGACAACAGCAGTCTACGAAAGAACTACTGTACATGAGTTAACAAATAAATTAAGCAAAGAAATAAGACGATCAGATCCAAGTGAAAAGCAGAAAAGAAGTTAGAAGAAATAAAATAAAATGAATACTTTAATAAATGAACAAAATGAATAATTGAAATGAAAAAAAAATGAAGAATTAAATAAATGCATAAATAAATAGAAAGTCAAGACAACCTTGCTCCTCATTTTAGTTTGCTGTGCTTTGTCCTCAGGCCATGGCTATTTTCATGAGACCAAAACAAAGAAAATCCCATAATATTGTAACTGTACTCATGAGACAGATATATTGGGTTCAATAACTGTCTTTGTTTATCTTAACAAGTGGGGCAAATCTCAACCAATACAAGCAGCATAGACACCCAATAAAACAAAAGAGACCAATGATTCACACATCTGTCTGTGCTAACGGATACGAATGATCCCTCATATTGTGAAGCATGTGTGGCTTCTATCAATCAGACTTTTGTTTTTCCATCTAGCGAAAAATAACTGGGTGAAAAATCCCCTAAAAGTACATTTCAGTGAGGATTTCAGCCATATCTAGAGACCAGAACATCATAGAGAGATGTTTGACCACTGAGAACACCCTAGCAACATACTAATAACCACTTAGAACAACCACTATAAAGAGATGTACACATGCAGAGGTCTCTGTATTAAAATATCTTATTAAAATGAATATGGATTCAGTGTAAAAGTAAAGCTCATATTCAATATGGTTAAAGGGCTCCTATTATGATTTTTCACTTTTTCAACTTTAGATAGTCTGTAATGTTGCTGTTTGAGCATAAAAAAGATCTGCAAAGTTACAAAGCTCAAAGTCCACTTCAAAAGGAGATATTTTATTTAACAGAAATCACTTTTCAAAAACTACAACGAATGACTCGTTTGAACTACAACGCATATTTTCCGGGATTTGTGATATCACAAAGATCGACGAATGGGATGAGACCTGGTTGAGCTGCACTAGAGAAGACAACGAGTATTATCACTATGTCGAAAACACGCTAGTTTCCACAAGGCAGACGAACTTAGAGTGGTTACAATCAACCGGGTCTAAATCGCGCTCAAATTGATTTGATATTGATGCAATATTTACACTGAAGCTAGCAGGCGGCTATGGTAAGGGGCGTGACATTTTCCGACCAGGCTCCGAGTGCTGCCAGTCACAACACACACTGGCCCAGCTAACCAATCACAGCACATTTCGTATTTCAGAAGGCGGGCCTTCACACACTGGCCCAGCTAACCAATCACAACACACACTGGCCCAGCTAACCAATCACAACAC